CCCCCCCCCCCCCCCCCCCCCTCGGATCCACAACCACCTGCACCATGGCTGTGAGGAGCCCGGGGTTATCCAGAGCATCTGCCACGAGGCTTCGGGTTTTTTGGGCTTAAGACACGGTTAGGATTTAGGGAGTAGGGCTTAGGAATTTTAGGGCTTAGGATTTCAGGGTTTAGGGGTTTAAGTTTTTTTTGTAGGGTTTACGACTAATTAAGGGCTCGAGCCAAAACCCTAAACTCTCAACCCTGAACAAAAAACCTAAAGATCCTAAAGTAGCTGCAAACCGTACATCCCTAAACCCTAAATCCTACACCCTAAACCCTAAACCCTTTTTCAATATCCCAGAACTCTGAAGCCCAAAGCTCTGGACATAACAGGGTTTAGGGATACTCTAAACTCTAAACCTTCCCTAACCCTCAACCCCAAACCTTAAACCCTAAACCTTCAACCCTAAACCCTGAACCCTAAACCTTAAACCCTAAACCCTAAACCTTAAAACCCTAAACCCTAAACCTTAGACCCTAAACTAACCACCTAGTGTCCTAACGCCGCCGGAGTCTGCTGTAGAGGTGGCGCGGCGGCCTCCACGGCGGCCGACTGAGGCGCATCCTTGGCACTGGAATGGTTTAGGGTTCAGGTTTTAGGGTTTAGGATTTAGGGTGTAGGGTTTAGGATTTAGGGTTCAGGGTTTAGGGTTTAGGATTTAGGGTTCAGGGTTTAGGGTTTAGGGTCTACCCTAAACCCTAAACCCTCGGGGTGTTAAGGCTAGGTAGGTCGTTTCATGGCATGCTTAGAAGCCCTAAATGTCCGAGTGGTTCTTATTTGTGGCTTCTGGTGCCCAAAACGGCCGCAAAGTCCTGTAACAAGGAGTGTTTGGAGGGGCGTGAGATACACCTAAAGCCTATGAACCCGTAACCGTTACAGGACGGCTCTGTGCTTGAATCCCTACAGACCCACCCACCCCCGAAGTGCCCTAACCTGAACTGCTGCCGGTGGTGCAGGTCACGGCACCACCACAGACACAAAGGAACACCGGAGCCGACTTCTCGAACCGGCCTGACGTGCTTCTAGAGCACGGCCGGTATCTCATCTGGAGTTACATTCACGACAAAGAAATCTGGTTTAGGGTTTAGGGTTTAGGGTTTAGGGTTTAGGGATGAGGACCGGTCCCAATCGGAGGTTCGGGCCCCTTTGCGGGGACCAGCTGGACAGGGACCTCCTCCAGCCCATCTCCCCGAAATCGATCAGTGAGGTTTAAGATTTAGGGTTTAGAATTCTGGGTTTAGGGTTTAAGGTTTTGGGTTTGGGGTTTAGCAACGAACCTAAGGGTACCAAGGCCAGACCGCTTTCTTCTCAAACGCCTTAGGGTTAGGGTTTAGGGTTTCTTGGGTTCCATGAAGCTCTGGCTTCTCTTGCCTTTGCACATGGGGAATTACCTTGAACTGCGAACCTTTACCTAAAACCTCTAAACCTCTAAACCCCCAAACCTTGAAAGCATTTCTAAGGGTTTAGGGTTTCCCTAAAAAACTAAACCCCACACCCTAAACCTTAAACCCTAAAACTTAAACCCTAAGCCCTAAACCTTAAACCCTAAACCCTAAACCCCCTCCAAGACGAAAGGTGGCGAAGATGCTCTGGGCACTCTTCCGGCTGGGCGTGCGCAAGGCGGCGTTCGGTCGACGGAGTGTTGCCGAGGCCCGGTGGCCCCTTCAAAGGTTCTACAGGTTTAGGGGTTTTAGGGTTTAGGG